TGTAAATGTGCTGTTTCTCTCAACTGAAGCACCATCGCCAGCCACAGGCAAACTTGATGAATCAATACCAGAAGAACGAAAGAATCTTGCAATCCTCGCCTCTGACTTTAGAGGTGACGGACTTCCATCAACTACAAAGACTGGAAATGCTCCAAACTGCATAAACACTGACCAATAGTTAAGCTCACTCTCAATTCAAGGGCTGTAACTTTATCTCAGTCAAGCAAATAAAACAGCATTACATAAAACAACAAAAATTAGAGAGCTTAAGAAATAGTTGGCCAAGTTAAGGTAATTTTTTTTAATTTAAAACACAAAAGCTCAATCAAATTTCCATTTTTTTCCCCATACTTTATACATTGAAGTTTATATAAGTAAATTTAAAATGAGCTCACACTGTCAAACAACTTGAATCAACTTTCATATTCCCAAAACCCAAAATGTGTATAACGGAAAAGCCACAAACCCAACTTTTTTTTCTCTTTGAATTTCTCACATTTTCTCGGAAAACAAGCAGAAAACACAAAAACAGAGAGAAAACTGAACCTTGGAGAAGAGATTGATGGTACGGAAGAAGGTGACCCTGAGGTGGGGGCTTCGTGCACGGTCCTTGATAGCGGTTTCATGCTGTACGATCCAGAAGGAGAGGTCGACAGCAACCCGCTTGTTCCTCAAGAAATCAAAACCCTCATGCCGGGCGTAGGGTTTAAGCAAGTCCCAGAATTTACCACCAACACCCATCACTCTGGAATTTGCAAATATGGGTCTGGCAGTAAAAAGACGGCTTACACATTCATCGTACTAACCGAGAAGGTGAAGGAGGAAGAAGACGACAAGACGGTTCTGTGTCGTTCGGTTTTGTGCCGTTGGGTTGTCCTCTTGTTAGTAATGGGTAGGGCTTCTCCGTTCAACATAATTTGGGTTTGGATACAGTTGGGTTGAAAACATGAACTAAAGTCTAGCCCGTAAAATATTTTATGAATTTGGGCTGGCCAAAAAATCCCTGTAAAATGGGGCCTCCGATAGTAACGTGAGGAGAGTTCGGGTACAGGGACCTCTGAAATTGTTAGTTTTTACGTTTTCTTTCAAAGATCATGTATGCAAAAAATCTGGCTAAATAAAAAACCATTTAATGATTATATTGTTTCGATCCGAATGATGTTTTTCACGGAGGACCCTTAAAGGATGACTTTACCATAATGCATAATATGTTGCTCCTAGATTTGGTGTCAAAAAAATATAGCCGCTTGGCTATACTGTTTATATATTAAAAAAACTCTACAAAAAAAAAAAAAAATGACCCGAGTAAAGCCGCGCGGCTATAATCATTTTTTGAAAAAATCCCGAGTATAGCCGCGCGGCTACACTATACATTAAAAAAGGACAGCCTAGCGCCTAGCGGCCGCCTAGCGATTCGGCGCCACGTGTACTATTTATTAAAAAAAAAATTAAAAATATCCCAATAAAGCCGATCGGCTATATTCATTTTTTAAAAAAAATTCCCACGTATAGCCGCACGGCTATACTATTTTTTTTAATAAAAAAAAGCCCTCCTAGCGCCTGCCAAGCGAATCAGTGCTACGTGTCTAAAAACAATATAGCCGCACGGCTATAAAATTTATTTAAAAAATTTATAAGAAAAGGACCCTTCTATTTGCATTCGTTTATACTTTATAGATATTAATTTGCTAGTTTCGACATCTTGAAAACAAATATTGAAGAGATAAATTTCATAGTAAATCAATTTGAGAGTTCAATTTTTATTTTTTTTGGTGGGAATGTTTGCCTTTGGTCAACCTCTTTTCCTCGAGTGCTACTAAATTATGTTTCTACACACATTATTTGTTGACAAATACAAGTAAACCAAATGCTAATTGGTTTACAAGAATGATCTTTAAATTGTGATTTAGAACATCAATGGTTCTAATTATGACACGTGTATGTTGAAGATTGGTTAATCGTAATGAGTGGGAAAAGAAATGTGCACTTGTTACCAATTACTTTCATTCTACATATCTCAATTTCTCTCTTTTACAACTCCCATGATTTTGTGTATACGTGCATGATCCTTTTAGTATATATTATCACAAGACATCTTCTTAGATAGTAATGGAAGGTACAAAAAAACAGGATGACATGGAACTAAATAGATATTATATTATCTATATATATAAAGCAAAAGGCAGAGAATGGTGAAATATTCAAAATACCAGAAAATGCCCTTGGTTAATTTAAATATTAAGAATTGAAATTCTTAATTAAATGAGGATAATATGGTAAATTCACAATTAAAAACAAAATCAGATAATAGATCCTATTTTTGTGGAAAATAACTTCTCATTTTTTATTTTCTTAATTCTAAAAACTAAAAAAAGAAAACCAATTGGCACATGCGTGAGTGTGTGGCAAGGGGCTAGTATACAGAAAGAGAAAGAAACATAGAGGAGTGGCAGAAAAAGAAAACCAATATTAAGAATTGAAATTCTTAATTAAATGAGGATAATATGGTAAATTCACAATTAAAAACAAAATCAGATAATAGATCCTATTTTTGTGGAAAATAACTACTCATTTTTTATTTTCTTAATTCTAAAAACTAAAAAAAGAAAACCAATTGGCACATGCGTGAGTGTGTGGCAAGGGGCTAGTATACAGAAAGAGAAAGAAACATAGAGGAGTGGCAGAAGAGAGGTTACCTGTTTGCTCAGAATATGCTTGTTTGTAAAATTGTTAAAGCCTAGGAGGTTTCCTGAAAAATAAGCTTAAACAGAGAGAATAATAAAATATTATGTACGGTCAAGTTTTGGATATAATACTTTCATGAATATGAAGAGATAATTCTAGAGAAAAAACCCAAAAAGAAAATGGTGAGGATGAATGGGACTTGTGTCCTTGTAATAGGGATTAGACAAGAACACAAAGTGATGATGAGTGATGAGGCATTGAAAATGACAAAGTCATGAGTTAAACTCAACATAATTCATGGACAATTCATGATTAAACTAATTTAAAAAGGCTACAAAGAAATGTACACTATAATTAAACGGATAATATTATTAACTTATCGAATTATTATATCCCTTCTTATCTTATTATGTATTTATACATGTATCTTTGTCCGTATCGCATTCCATCTAGTCCAGTATTTGAAGTGAAAATTATGAAACCAAATGGTCAATTTATTTCTAGTGTGAAATTTAAGACTGATGTTACGTCTATGAATTTTAGCTTGCGGTGAGAAGTTAATTGTTTTTGCCCTAGTTACATAAGAGATGGATGCATCACCGTGCCCATCGGAATATTTCTCCATTGATTATGTGATAGTTGAGTTGAGGCAGACAATGTGAATGTTTGGTTGAGAAACATAAAACCCATTCATGGCATTCAATATTTGATATTGATGATCAAGTGGTGAAATTACCGTATCAACCTTAGGCAAATCCGGCTATGAAAATTTTGTGCGTGTGGGTGTGATGTGGACTAGAGGAGCCGACACCGGCGCGCGGAGTCCACCACTTGTGATCGGAATCAGATACACAACAACATCGGATCCTCCTTCTGATGGTTGGGGCCCACAGCTATATAGGCTTATAAGGATCAGCCACATGTGATCACATAAACGACCTGGCGGTGAGCTAGTGGACAAGTTCCAAATTTTTAAAGATCTTGCACCAATTTGGACTGATCATACCAACAATGTAATTGTCAATGGCCAAAGGGGCCATGCTTGCAACCCACCATGATTTTGTGGTTACACTAATGGAAAATACTCAAACTCTTTATTTTATTTTGTAACGAGTTATTTTCTCAACAGCAAAAAATTACAGTTTGATACATGTACTTGAATTTTGTTTTTTATATTATTAAATAGTTATTTTTATGCATCTATATCATATTAAGATTTCAGACGGACGGATTCTTAGCCCACTAATAACAACATCGACATTATTCCTAACTTAACCACATGTTTAGCAAGTACGTGGTTTTATACAAAAAGCCTCGATGTTATTATGAGTAAAACCATTTATTATATGAGACTTTCTATTTTGTTAAGTTTCCGATGTGGAACTAGTGTATTCTTCAACATATCACACTGTAATTTATAGATAAAAAAGAATGACTTTCGACAGAGTTTTGTGCTAGTGCCAAAAATACCAAGACATAGAGTTATTTCATACCCTAGAAACAGGTTTCTCTATACAAGAAGTTGTCATGCTTCATCCCAATATATCATCTACAAAAATTATTTTTGGCAATAAGATCAGTCCTAAGGACACTATGGGCAGCGTGCCATCAATCAATGTGCTAGTACAAAATACAAATTCAATCCTACATGTAGAGAGAAACTCTCATACAACAATTCCTCCTACGTACCATTGTGTTATTGATCGGGATTCCGTTACAAGAACCTTTTTTTTCCTACATGTGACAATGTGATCAAACTAATAAGTACAGATATTAAGTATGCCCAAGTTGATTTAAGGTCAACTCACTTTCTCTCAAAAAACATGCTTCTGAGTCCAAAAGACCAAGAGATCTCACAAAATCACACTCACTCAGTCCTTTCTTCCCCTCTTAAAATAACTGCAAAATAGAAGCATCCACCCTCCTACACTTGTTTGTCATTTTCCCCATTTTTATTGCTTCTTTTTTTCTTTCTGAAATTCAACCTCATGAACTACCTGGAGATCCCCACCTAGAAGCTACCTCTCCCTTTCTTCATCTTCTTATTGCAATGCTCACCAAACCCTTTTAAATATAAGCCCCTCCTTCCTCTCCTCTTTCACTCTATCTCCTCACTGTCTCCCACTTCACTCTTTAATTTCAGACCAACCCTTTTCTCCCACAATTCTCTTCTGATAATTTCACCTTTGAAGTCTGGCTATAATCTATGGATCATCCAATTTGAAGGCTTGAAGCTCTCAAACCACAAAAATTGCTTGTTGGGTAATAATTATTTTCTTAATCTCTTTACTTTTTCATCTCACAAAAAAATGTTGCAGCAGCCTCAAAGAAAGCCTTGTCCAATAGAGCGCAGGCCTACAATGCTCCTCAAAGATTTCCTCAATGAGAATTCTTCTAGCTCATGTTCTTCAAGTGGGTTCAAATCATTTCCCAGAAAACAATCACCATTCAATCCCAGCAGTCCCCAGAAGAACCTCATTGAATTTGATCCAAAACCAACAAGTTCAAATTCAAAAAATAACCCCACCATTACCAGCAAATTACTCAGAAGCAGATCAAAGGCAGCCTCCACCACAATCTCAGCCTTCCAGTCCCTCATGAATGCAGTTAAAAACATCCCATTTACCACGGTAAAACCTCCCTCTTTTTTACCTCGAAGCCTCTCAAGGAGGCTGCTGCAGTCAAAATTTCAGAGCTCATCAAGGAAGCAGAGTCAAAACCAAGTCCAAATTACTGTGAGAGTCAAGGACATCATGCGGTGGACATCGTTCCGTGATGAAATGTTACCTCCACCTCCACCGTTGGATTATGCTTCTTCACCTCTCCATTGTACCACAAGCACCACCATAACAAGGTCCACAACTACTACTTGTACAACTTGTAGCAGCAGCAGCAATGGGTCAAGCTGGTGTGACAGTGATTTTACCGCAGAGTTTTTACCGTCTTGGGTTTGTAGTAACTCTGACCCTCACGCTGATGAGGAGGGTGGTAAAAAATATTTACCATGTGTCGGCAAGGATTTCATGGAGGCATCAACAACAGGGACAGGAAGTTGCAATATTGCTTTGGGACCCCAGGTAGAGCAATTATTTAGTGCACCGCATCTATATTTATATTGTGTGTCTGCTGTTGAGGGTCCTTTTGATGCTATTAATTTGGTTGACCTGCCCTTGGTTGTACTTTATGGTACTTGGTGGGCCATAGGAGAACAATTTTTACTAGTCATCTTTAATCATGAACCGCCAACGGGTTCATAGATCAGTGGTAAGAGCATTTATCTGCAAATGAGTGGTCTCACTCTCGTGTTCGAATCCGACACCTCCCCCTACCCCTTCTAAACTTTGACCCAAAAAAAAATCTTTAACCATGAACCATGGTAAATCTCCTGGTTATTTTGATCTTACCTTTGGCTAAGCATATATCACAGAGTTTATCATGCATGTCAGACAAAATAGAAGTTTACCACTAACCTAAAAGACATTTAAGTTTAGATCCCAAAGTACTTTGATCTGATATTTTAATATATACCTAAATACAAATTTAAGTATGTCCAAAGCAACAGTTTTTGTCACTTTTTTTGGGTAACAACAATTTCTGTCACTTTGGCAAATGCTGAAATAAAAGAGGATTTTATTATTTATTTATTTATTATCTTTATGCCTAATTAGTTCACATAATTTAAAAATGTTGACTTATAAATTTTGTTCATGGGAATTGTACACTGTGCTGAATTTGATTGGTGTGTGAACATTAGCAGGTTGAGGTGCTGCTGGGTGATGAAGATGAACAGCACAGTCCAGTTTCAGTGCTTGATTGTCAATTTGGGGAAGATGAAGAAGAGTCATTTTCAAGTACTTTTGATCAAAGCCTTGAAAATGTGGGTGATGAAGATGAAGAAATGGCCATGGAGCTGTTGAATTATGTCAAAGCAACTAGCTGTGAGGAAGGCCATTTGGAAGATAAACTGCTGTTGGATTTCTTTAGAGAAGAAATGAGTGTCCAAAGAAATCAAACTGATGATGGATTTAAATGGGAGATGGTGAGCAAAGCAAAAGCTTGGGTGAGTGGAGAACACAATGAACTTGAGTGGGGGCTAGACCACAAGAAGGAAGCTTGTGTTAGAGATATGCATAAAGGAGGGAGGTGGAACAAGTTTGAGTATGAGCAAGAGGAGCTGGCTTTAGAAATTGAGACTGCCATGTCAGATTTCTTAATGGAGGAGCTTCTGGTTGATCTCTTATCAAGATAAATATATATATATA